TTTTTTTTTTTTTTTTTTTGCCCCCTTTAACCCCCCCCCCCCCTTCCCTTCGCCCCCCCCCCCCCCTCTCTCCCTGGGCTTCCGGAGGCCTGCTTGCGGTCCCGGCTCTGCGCCATCGGGGGCGCGATCGCCGTGTCCGCGACGGCTGCGGCTGCGGCGTTCGGGACGGTGTACCGCAGCCCGGAGAACGTATACGAATCACGGGGCGGGCTGCCCGTCGGGCGGCCCTGCCGCTTCGCCGCGAGGCGCGCGTGGACCCGTTGCCTCCTCGCCAGCTGCGCCGCCTCCGTCCGCGCAGCATCCGCGGCCGCCTCGTCGGCGGCGTCCTTGGCAGACCCCGTCTCGGGGACCAGCATCTTGGCCACCGCCAGCGCTGCTGGGGCCGACATGATGGACGCCGACAGCAGCTGGCTCGGGTCGGCGCCAAAGCTGATGTACGCTCCGAGGGTCGAGCCGGCGACCGAAGCGAATCCGCCCGTCATGACGACGAAGAGTTGCGACCGGCTCAGGCCGGGCAGCAGCGGGGTGAGGAGCAGCGGCGCCTCGGTCATGGACAGGAACACCTACGCCCAGCCACGCGGGAGAGAGTCACCCGCAGCGGGGCGCTCAATGTAGGGATCCCTTCTAGTGATGTCACAGGTGGGTTAAGAGGGAGATTCGCGCGAGCTGCGGGACGGCGGGCGGAAATGCGACTCGCCGCCACTTTTGGCGACTTTAGGGACGCGCGATCGAACGGCCGAGAATCGAGATGTATGTATATGGGGGATCCCCTATCGGCAAGAAGTGCACGTTGGCGACTGTGACGATCCCCTCGACCTCCGAGACCGCCAGGAAGTTGGCGAGAGCCGCTCCCCCATACTTGAAGACCACCTGAGGACGTGTGAGGAGGCAAGAGAGGTGACAAACAGAAGCGGGACGGCGCTACGCACACCACATATTGAGAGTAGGCGTGGTCGTGTAGGCTCTACGGAGGTGTGCGGTGTATAAGGCTGCCTGCAGGGCGCCGAGGTACGCGAGGAGGGAGATTATTGCCGAGAAGTAGAGGATGATCGGGAGCACGGAGAAGGCAAAGAAGGCGAGAAGGTCGTCGCCAAAGACAAAGGCGGCGCCAAGCCCCGCGTACTTGAGCAGGGTCGTCATCAGGCACGAGACATACGACAGCGCCCACGAGCCCGCGTCTGTCCGCGTCACGAGCACGCCGAACCAGAACTGCAGCGCGAATCCGGTGGAAACGGTGCCCACGGAGATTGCCGACCGGTGAGTGGAGCCGAGCACACACCCGCCCGCGAGCATGGCGAGGCCGAGGACGGGAACCCACGACTGCCACGTGTTCGTGCGGAGGACCGAGATCACAGCAAGGTGGGCGCCGAGCACGAGCGTTGCAAAGGTGGCCTTGGCCCAGCGGGGAGGATCGCGGGTGTACGGCAGGAGCGCCTAAACTCGAGTACCACAAACAATGATTACACGTTACGGAATGTGCTTAGGCTGCATGCAACTACCGCATCGCTCCTTCTGGATTGGACGCAGTGACTGCTTGACGCTCGGCGAGCAGTACACAAACACGACACAGAGAAGCAAGAACAGCTCGAAGCCTGCCCAGCCGTAGGAGCGCTCCCAATGCAGGGCGAGGGCGGCGACAGTCCACGCGAATAAATACGCGATGACAGTGATCGTCTTGAGGCCGAAGCCAGGCATTGCGAGTCCGATCCTCATGTCGAGGAGTTCGAGTTCGTCCTGCATGCCGGTCCAGCAGGCGCTGATGCTGGGCGTCTTCTTCTTCTCCAAAGGTGCTTCCTCCATAGATCAATCCACCAGGCGAGCCGAAATGCAATCGCCAAGAGGGCAAGGCAGGAGGCCAGATGCAGAGGCTGTGTGGGGGGGGACGAGCACCGCGTGCTTTGATGGGGCCATGTCGGGATTCCAACTTTTTGGTAGGGTAGGGTTACCGATGGGGTGGCTGCCCACTAGAGACGTCCGTTACACGCCCAAATGGAGGGGGTATTGGATATTGGATCCACATATGTATCTATTATTCTTTTGAACCTGCTTGCGAGCGTGTCGCTCCTTTTTTGACCTTTTGAAATCACCCAGATTGGCTTTCCAGTAACACGTGTAGGTCTGTGCGATTTCGCCGGCGCCCGGCCCCGGGGTTGTGCGTTTAAATGTGAAAGGGTGTGAGCATTCGAGAGAGATGTTTAGCAATACCAAACAACTCTAACACTCACTTTGTACAACGTCAAGAACAACATACATGCAAACCCGACGCCACAGTCAGTGCAGGCGGCAGGCCCTCCTCTCTTCGGCAACGCCACGCACCGCGGCGTCGAGCCGCTGGTGAGGTCCGGAGAAAGAAGAACGCCGCCCTCCCCTTCTTCCTGCCCGAGGCGGCCGGCGCCTTCTGCGCTGCCCCGGCCCTGTGCGCCCTGCTGCTGGAGCCCACAGGAGCCTGTCCGGACTTGCCCAAACGCCAAAGGCAAAATGTGGGCAGAGCCGGCGACGCTCAAAATATACTGCAACCGCAATCATAACCTGTCCGTCTCTCCCAAAGTCGTCTCTAAAGTCGTCTTGAGTGTATGACAAAGTAACATGTGGGGTCAAGTCTCAATCGCAGACCACGAACCATGAAACCGGCTCCTCGACACCCGGCGCGCCGGGACCGGCATCAGGCGTCCCCAGCGGAGGAGAGCCGGCGGTGGCATCGGCGGTGGAGACTATCTGCTGCGGCATCTCTGTCTTATGCTGTCGCAGATATCGGTTCCGGATCGCAGAGTCACTCCGCCCTGTGAGCATGCCAGCGATGCAGCGCCACTTTAAGCCATGCTTCCGAACCCCCTCTTCGATGATTGCATCCTCCGCCGCCGTCCAGCCCCTCCGCTCCTTCTGGCGTAGCAACAGCGGCTCCGGCTTTTCAGAGCCCGAAGATTTTTCCGCCAGGCCTGCGGCTTGCAGCTTGTGCCATCTATTGCGCACAGCATCGGCTGTCCGTTTGTTGTGCATCTCCTCCGCGATGACTGGGAACTGCGTACCGATTCTGGCGATCAGCCTGATGATTGCGCGGTCCTCCTCCTCGGTCCAAGGTTTTGCGCTGCGTTTGGCGGCCGGTTCAGGCTTGTCATCGTCATCGCAATGGGCGAGCGATAATATGCTTGGGATGCCGGTGTGCTGGCCTTCTGGCGCGGCCTCCTCGAGCCAGTTCAGGGGCGCGGCATCCGGCTGGTACAACTCTGGCAGCAGGCTCGGCAATTCCATCAGCCAGGCGGTCAGCCAGGCTGGTCACCTGCGGTTGTGGTCAAACGAACGCGAAATGGTCAGCTGTCAAAGACGGCTGTTTCAAAAAATAATCGTGAAGGTGGAAGGAAGAAAAAGAGTGGCGGACTCACTGGGGAGAGTCAGCTCCGAAAATAAAAAGAAAAACCCGGCCGCTTTGACGGTGCTCGCTCGTGCCACAGCCACAGCAGTCCAGTGAAGGCGTCTGCTCCCAAACACAGAACACGCATGCTTAGCGCCGCCCTCCTGCTCGTCGCCGTCCCTCCTCAAGAGCCTCCTTCGCCGCCGCTCCCGCCGACGCTTCCGCCGCTGCCGCCGCCGCCGGGGCTGCCTCCGCCTCCGCCCGCGTCTCCGCCTCCGCCTCCCAGCTCTCCGCCCGCGTCTCCGCCTCCGCCTCCCAGCTCTCCGCCCGCGTCTCCGCCTCCGCCTCCCAGCTCTCCGCCCGCGTCTCCGCCTCCGCCTCCGCCTCCCAGCTCTCCGCCTCCGTTCGCGCCTCCCGGCGCACCACCACTCCTCGGCCTCGAGTGCGAACGCGAGGCGTACTTTCGGCTCCCGACGCGGTGGTTCTCCGAGCGGGAGGCGGCGCTGCTCACCACGGCGCTGATCAACGCGGCGATCGCGGTCGGCTGCGGCCTCCTCTTCTTCGGCCTCCGCCACGCCTCGCCCACCATCCGGCTCCGGGTCTACTCGCCGCTTGCCGGCTCGTGGAGCGGCGCGAGCGGCGGCGCCGAGCCGTGGCCACCCGACGTCTGGATCGGCGGGCTGCGGTGGCTGCTGTGGCCGCCTCGCTGGGCGCCCGAGTCGCGGTACACGCTCGAGCTCTGCATGATGATCCGCTTCCTCTCCATGAACTTCCGACTCTTCGCCCTCTTCGCGCCACTCGCCTTCCTTGTCTTGTTGCCGGTGAACGCGACGGCGCCGTCGCCGCCGCCGCTGCCGCCGCCGCCGCCGCCGCCCGAGGGGGTTTCGTTCCCCGCGCCGCCCTCCGCGCCGGTGGGGGGCGAGGAGGGGAAGGACTACATTGGCGGGCTCGAGGCGCTCTCCCTCAACCACCTGCCGCCCGGTCAGCACACGCAGATGCGGAAGACTCAGACGCACTTCTCGCTCCGCGCCTCTCCTGCCGCGCACCTCCATTGGTTTGCTTGGGGTGTGTGGTATGCTGGCGGTCTCTGCGCTGGAGCGGGCCGGTGTGTGGTCCGACTAGCACTCGAGAGGACGCGTACTCCGCCGCACTCAGCCGCACTCACCCCCATCTAGACGCAAGCCCAGCCGCACTCACCCCCATCTAGACGCAAGCCCAGCCGCACTCACCCCCATCTAGACGCAAGCCCAGCCGCACTCACCCCCATCTAGACGCAAGCCCAGCCGCACTCACCCCCATCTAGACGCAAGCCCAGCCGCACTCACCCCCATCTAGACGCAAGCCCAGCCGCACTCACCCCCATCTAGACGCAAGCCCAGCCGCACTCACCCCCATCTAGACGCAAGCCCAGCCGCACTCACCCCCATCTCGACGCGAGCCTAGCCTCCCTTTCCTCAGTCTATACTCAAGCACGCTCGCGCTGCTCGCATTCTACACCGAGCCCAGCCGGACTCACCCCTATCGAGGACCAAGCCACGCCGTACTCCCCCCCACCTAGACCCAGGCCCAGCCGCACTCACCCCCCGTAAAGAAGGGAAGCACCAGCGGCACTCCCCCCCCCTCTAAGAGCATGACCCAAGCGCGAGGCACCCCCCAAAAGGGGGGAGGGCCCCGGCC